AATAAAATTGAGAATGGAAATGGGGAATATGTCAAAGAGACAACAATCTGACCAAAGAGCAGAAAACAGCCGAAGGCCACCAATGGGTCTTCAATGCAGCGAGAAAATCCCGCACACGGAGGTGGTCCTCAGCTGGCCCCTAAATAAAATTGTGTGCTAGTTCAATGAACGCATGTATAGATAAATTTCTCTTGCTACAGAATGCGTATGAATAAATCCAGAAATTATACAATTAATGCAAATCGTCTTGATATGGATCACTCCAACGTATACTGCAAAATGTTCCAATTATTTCTGTTATATATAAAAGAAGTCGTTCGCTGTGCAAGATGTATAATGTATCTTATATTAGGACAATTTGGCCCATATTATCAGCACTTCTTTACAGCATTTCTATGAGGAGTCTATAGCACTATTGCCTTCTTCAAGTCAAATTTTCAGCCTCTATTGATCACACAATTCTTCAGTGGAGGTTCAAATTTCCAATCCTTCTTCCTGGTCAGCCTACATTGCTATAGTTATAGTTATTCGTTTATTCTCACAAAGGAACATAACTGTTATTGCTGTTCTTCATCTTAAGTCATAGTGAGGCCTTTCAAAAATTTTCTGCGAACTTCAATGTGATTTCTATTACATTTTACATATAAAAATACAAATTGTCTGAATAGGCATATTGAACAGTTCAACACGTTCTAATTCTATATAAGAAGCATTAAAAAAATTCTTCTAGGACTTCAATGACTTATTTTTTTTTTTTTTTTTTTTAATACAATATTCATTACACTGGATTAACATTTGTTATACATAATTGGAAAATGTTATCAAAATAGAAAAGAACTTTGTGAGTAAAACTGGTCATTAGGATATAACCTCACAAATTATAATACTAGCATTTCCCATTCTATGCAGCATCTGAGCATCCCAATTTGATGTGTCTCATAGTCATTGTACATATAAATGGTTGTCGATTCTCCCCAATTTGATTTTATTAGTAAATCAAAGTTCAGGATATGTTTCTAAAATTTTGTGTTCACCTAAGAAAACCTATTTGCTTTATATTCTTTTCCTGAGAACAATATCTTTCCTTTTTTGCTTTATATTCTTTTCCTACGAACAATATATTTCCTTTTTTGCTTTCATTCTTTTCCTACGAACAATATCTTTCCTTTTTTGCTTTATATTCTTTTCCTACGAACAATATATTTCCTTTTTTGCTTTATATTCTTTTCTTACGGACAATATCTTTCCTATATTTCTTTATATTCTTTTCCTACGAACAATATCTTTCTTTTTCTTTCCTTTATTTTCTTTTCCTACAAACAATATCTTTCCTTTTTTTGCTTTATTTTTTCCTACGAACAATATCGTTCCTTCATATATAAAAGGCAATAAAGATGTTTAATGATTTTTTTTTCAATGATTTTTCATTTATGTATCAACTTAGTTATTTAACTTTCACCAAGGGCTACGGACAACCGTACTGCACCTAGATTAGGAACAGGATGTTTTCAAAAACCATCCGTACAAATTTTATGGATTCAAATTTTCAAATTGAAAAAAAATCTCAAAATTCGCTGTTCGTCAAGATAAATGCATTAAACAACTACCTCACTACCAATAGACGGCGATTTAGCAAATTCTGTGACAAATTTACAATTAAAAATTGCTTTGATTAAGTATCCTTTTTCATATGCGGTAAATCATTCAAATCAATTTTACATGCTGCTTCTGGAATCAGACAGTCGTGTAAAATTTGCAAATTTGTATTGAAATTTTATAAATAAGTCTTTCGAACTCTGAAGCAAACTTTTATTACTTAAGGATTTGTTGTCTTTAATACCGAAAACATGTAAAGAATCAAAATTCAATTTCAGATATCTATGTTTCAAGGAGTCACTACTTAGACTTCATTTTTTTAGCATGAAACTTTACCAAAATCCAACTTAGTAATGAACAAAAATAGTAATCTTAATTGAAAATTCTTTATTTTTTATTATTTTTTTTTTCAGGTAATTGTCATGGGAAAAGGAAGAAAGACCATTCACAATTTGTCTTACATTTGTTTTTCTCTTTTTTAATTAAATAAAAAAAAAATAACAAACCTTTCAAATGTAGAGTTCATAAGATATAAATATTCCCTGTGGAACACCTCCCCCCCCCCCCCCTTTTTTTTTGTGCTCTCTATTTTCAACCCTCGAATTAATCTTTCCAATCTAATTTAAATTAAAACCTTGCTTTCTAACCAATCTATTCATGTACCGGACCGGCAAATTTCTTTATTTAATACGAAAATCTGCAGTGCCGTTATACACATGCATGTTGTTTGCTTGGAGTCCCCGCCCGAAAAGAAAGAAATAGCTGAACTCCAAGATACTATATTCCTGCATCACGTGATTTTTACCGCGTGGAGCTTACATTTTAATAAATACCGAATATGGAAAGTGAAACTACAATTCAAAACATAAAGTCCGAAGGCACAAATAAGAAAAAGAAGGTTTTTTTTTGTCAAAGGGTGCCGGGGTAATCTTCTCTGTGTTCATAATATACATGAAATATTTGCCACTGCCCCTTTTCTGTTCTATGAATTCTAACCCTGAGTTTTCTATCTGTTACATGCCATGAAATCCTCGCTAAAAATTCCGGTCGACCTCCTACGGCACTCATTAGTAGATAAAAAAAGATTTGATTTCATTCAACAAATTAATTTATGACCTTCATGTACGTGTCGCTTAGAACACGGCCATATACCAAAAGGTCAATATTAATCATCCATGTAATTTGCTCTATGGGGTGTTTGCAGAATTTCAACAGAGGCAATTCCTTGGCATGAAGCATAAATCACACGCTGATAATTACAAACAAGCGTTGCGAATTAAAAAAAACAAACTACATCAGATATAAGAAGATATGGTAGGATTAGAATGAGAAGACTATAAAGTTCTTATAAAGAGAATGAAAGAAATTATGGGCACCCGCAAGGCCTTAAACAACTAAAGGTCACCGTACGGCCTTCAACAATTGAGCCCTTTATATTCATTTACAGCCACAATTTCTATGATTATCAATATCAAATTTCAAATTCATTGACAATCGACCTATGAAAACAAGATATCGTTTTTTTCCATTTATTTCCAGTTTCCATTGTTTAATTTAAAAAAAAAGTTAAGCATCATCTGTAAATCCTGCAAGTTTCTGACATTAACATTGTATCATCAGCAAACAGCAAAATAAACCATTATTCATTTTCTGTATCTCTTTAATACAGTTTCTAGCCCTTTAGATTTTGTAGTTTCTAGAAAGTCTTGCAAGTCAATCAAGAATAAAGAAAACGAGATAGATTAGAGATTCCCCCTTGACTTGCTCCTATATCAAATACAAAAAGTAAGGCAGACTTTTCATTATTATAAACTATGCAAGATTTCGTATCTGATACATATCTTTACAACTCTAAAAAAAAAAAAAAATCCGGTTCATGGGTTTTGTAGAAGTTTGAAATATAAAGAGTTTCTAAGTACAAAGTCAACAGCTTTATTTCAAAATCAACAAACGCACAATAGTTGAAGTACTCCGTATTTTGTCTTTTAACTTTGAAGTATGAAACCGTGACACTTCGAATTCAACCTCACTTGTTTTTAATGATTACACATTTAGCTATAACTATTTTCGATAAGCTTATATAAAACGAAGTTATAATTTTTGTATTATTTTTTGTTTCATACAATTATAATGTACAATTATTATATACCAATTATTTATTACCTTTAATTTAAAACTAATAGTTTTTTCTTATTTAGAATTACAAATGTATGGCTTGGTTTGATACAATATTTTCATTTTCGTTCATTTAAATTTACCATTTACTATAAGGCCATTCATTATACGCCAATACTTAATACAGCGGTTAGGACATCCCAGCTTATATAATCATAAGATAGCTTCGATGTGCATGCTAACCCTTTCTGTCAGTCAGTCCTAACTTTATCCAAATCTCTGTCCTAAGAAATCCTTAGGACCTATCTTAGGACAGTTTCGATATTATGTTGATAAAATGTCATAAATAACTTATGACATTTTATCAACATAATATCGAAACTTCATTTATATTCCGCAATATACCATCTTCATTATATTTGACATTTATCATTCAGAATCAATTGCACGACGACAATTTACTTTTATTTTCCGTTCCACAATAACTTACCAGTAATGATTGGACTGTAAATAGAGAAAAAAAAACCGATACGGTGATGTGTTATGTAACTATGTTGGCTTTCTATGAAATTCTTTAAAAAATTTTTTTATTATATTGTTATTTCCAGTAATTCCATTTATTAATCAATTTATTTATTTATTTATTTATTTATTTATTTATTTATTTATTTATTTATTTATTTATTATTTTTTTATTCATTTGTCCTCTTGTTATTTTTACTGTTTTTTCCTGACAATAATCTTAAAAGCATTGACGTGGTTAAAATCTTTCCAGAGCCCGGGTTCATACCAAAGTCCATTCGGAATCCGGTACGGTTTTATTGCGTTCATTTACCTGTGCAACTATTTCAAAACGAGTTGTCTCCCTTTCGGGTTCGGTTTCCTACTTATTCACTTAGAAATGAAATAAATGGTTGTGTTTTATACAGTTTGAAAAAAATCTTTGTGTTTATGAAATGAAAGATGATATTCATCACACGAAGTCAGAGTGTTCACTCAAGAAATCAGATAATACAGAGAAATAAAGAAAAATAGGTTCCCGAGTTTGGGTTACCACTTTTACCAAGGCGGAAACATAGAAAACTTTTTTTTCAGTCTTTTGCCAGTTAAGAACAAAAGCGTACTCATACATAACATAAAACTTTATATTTTACACCATATCCATTAATTTTTGTAACAAAAATCTCTAAAGAATGATAACAAATCATATTTAAAGATTTCCGGTTCGGCAAATTTCCGGCAAATTCCGGTTCGGGTTCGGGTTCGGGTTACCACTTTTACCGACCACCTTATTTCAATTGCCAACAGCGACACCTAGCACTCGGTAGCTTTGGCGTAACTGAAAGATTTCAACCGTAGACGTAAGTGAGAGGATAATACATAGTGCAATTATTTATGAAAGAGTTTGTCCTGAAAGTCGAATTTATTACGAAATCAGAATGTATCTCTTAATAGGTCGTATAGGGTAAAACAAATTCGAGATGCGAGAGCAGTTACAGGGGCACGTAACCCAATTGTAAATTCGAATGCCAATTCTGGTGAAAACGTAACCAGGATTTGAACTTTATTTATTTTTCAAGGAGCCATGTGGCCCCTAGCATTTTGGACAATTTTTCTACGGTTATAATTGTAGTTTTTAAATTGATGAACAATAACAAACATTTTTTTTTATTTAACATTAAAACCATCACTGGCATCAGTATCACCATGACTCATGACTCTGTAATAAATTATTTGGCATCTAGGATCTGCTATTCATTTCGGTTCATGTGGAGCCTTCGGCTAAAATGGCTGCATTTTCACCTCAAAATTTACTCATTGTACAGACAAACCTGAGTATCTGGAAATTTTTTAAAGCATAGCATGCTCTAGATAAATAAAATTCAAATACATTTTCTCTTTTAGCATGTTTAGAAATTAAAAACTTAACTGGAAAATTTGGCAGCGCACTTTTTTTCATTCTTCCAGACGGTGGCAAAATAAACAAAGTTGGGAAAGAGGTTTGAGAACTTCCCCGCAGGTAATAATTGAAGGAAACTCTATACACCTTATCGCTATTTGGAAAGCTGTCCCGCTTGAACTAGTACTTTTGACGTCATACAACAATCACTTTTCCATTGTGGCGTCAGATATTTTCTATTATGACGTCAAAATTTTACGGGAACCTTTGTGATGTCCAATAATGGCGGACAAATAACGATAAAATTAAGGTGTATTGATTGACATGGACAATAGAGCTACAAAATATACCTGACAATAATTCAGGGTTCTTGTTAAGACTCATATACACGTTCGAGGCGCCTCATTTTTGAAACCCGTGAGTCCATGGGACGCGTCCTCGTTGTATCCCCCCACCCGAGTCCAAAACACATCGTTTTGCCTAGAAGATTCATGATCGTCGACATTGTTTTGACAGGAAACTAAACCGGAAGTCAATGTTGGAAAATTATGTAATGCGTAGATGAATATTTTTGTTGACTGATAACTTTTTTTAAAAATTTAAGTATTTCATCCTAAAATATAATAATTCTGTTCAAACTGATTAATAAATATGTAATAGTTACCGATTTTTAAAAAAATTATGAGTATTTGAAAAGCTTGAATATTTCCATGTGTTGAACATCACGTACTTATCGATTGAAACAAAGTAAAAAATTTTGAGAACTTGATATGAAATGATATAAAAAATCATTTACTGTTACGGTGTTCACTTTAGATTTGCTTGTTTTTATTAAAGATTATAATAATTATCATGATGCAAACATCAAAGTGATTATTAACTCAATGATTAAATATAATTAAAATTGATTAATGATAAATAATATGAACTGTGACAAGTCTGTGTTCATGCAATCCCAATTTCTTATAAATACTGGCTTGTCCAACAAAATGACATCAGTTTCACAATGCCAGAGTCAGTCAAAGTTGAAGTCCTTCTTCAAAAGGATACCTGATGACATTGAATCATCAGAACCAAGTATAAGACCAAAAGTCAATGACCCACTACACCAAGAATTGATAGAAATAGAAAGATCTTCAGAAACAACAACTTCAGTTACTTCAGTCACTACATCAACTTAACCAAAGAAAAAGAGGAAATGGCAGTCCATATATGTTGTAAATTAATGAACAATAACTATTAAGAGATCATAACTTTTATTGATATAATAAAAACTACCAATCCAACATGCATCATTTTAGTTTTATTTCATCATATTTCATCATATTAACACACAAAAATTTACATGCATCCTGGACTCATCAAAATCTATTGGGACTCACCATGAAAAATTCCTAGTGAGAACCCAGTAACTGGTGATTTAAACTGTGTACCTGAATGGACCATTTCAAGTGAAACTCAACTGTTTGTGATAATATCATCTTCTGCAGGGACGAAAAAAAGTGCACAGCAAAATCCAGTTAAGTTTAAAAGATTTTAAAACATAAAATGCATTTGAATTTTTTTTATCTATAAGGCCAAAAAAAAATATATGTCTGTTTAAGGTTACATACTTTTAAAAATTGGGTAGGTAGGTCGGTATTTCCATTTTATTTTATTTTTTCATTTTATTTTTTGTGACATGATTTTGAGTCATGCTGTTTTGTCTTGTCATGGTCCGAGTTGATCATGGGCAGAGTTTACGTGTTTTTTTAATGGTTGGATTATTTCCCTTGGTTATTGGTTGGAAAAAAATGGCGGCAAAGTGTTTATTTCATCACGTGAGTTGCGAATTTCCTTAAAACAGCTGTCATATTCACGATTGTGAACATTTGGATGTATCAGGCAATTGATTTATATTATTTGCAACACTAACTTCGCTTTTGACACAAGTTCAATTTATTTTTCACTTTACGACGGAAATAAAATGACTTAGGGACGGCGCTCAAAAGTAGGGTTGGTCAGGTTACCGTAAACAGACATATATTTTTTTTTGGCCTAATATGCAGTTTTTATCACACAGTCAGTCAGGGGTACTACTTGTACAAGATATTTTTATTTACTTCAAGAAGTAAATAATAATCATGATAATATACTTATATATTAAGTAAATTTGTTATATTCATATTTTCTTATAAGGTTTGAATAATCTCCCCTTAATTTTCTCAAAAAAATTTACTTGTATAAGTAATTTTTTTTTACAATCCCTAAACTTCTCATGTTTTGGGTTGTAAAAACATGCCTTAAACAATTTTTCTCTGGTTAGCTTCTAATTTTTAATTAGAGTTCAAGTTTCATCTCATTAATTCAACAAAGAAACTATTTGTGCAAAGATCTTAAATTATTGCCCAAGGCCTTCAAAAATTGCCCCTTGGAGGCTTGTAAAAGGGCAGTGTTTTGAAGATAACAGACAAATGAGACTTTCATTGTCCATGAAATTACACTTGATTAGTAAAGACATCTGCAAAGGACAGACAATTAAAATTCTAATAGAGAAACGAAGTCCTGAGAAATTCAAGAAAAGAAGATAGTATGACTTTTTTACTTGTACAAATGTATAAGTAAAAAAATCTGAATGTATATAGCTACGGGCCATTAAAATAATTTACCTATACAAGTAAATAAAATAAACTTGTATAAGTATCTTACAAATTTACTTGTATAAGTATATTAATATTTACTTCTTCAAGTCAAGTAGTACCCCTGACTGACAGTGAATTTTTGATGAAAGTTTGTCTACAGGCTTTTTTTCACCTAGTCAATTTAAATATGTAATAAAAAATATACCTTCATGTGCTACCTTTGAGAGATAAATGGGGTAGAAATTTTAGGTATTTACTGGACATTTTAGTTTCCTGGACATTTCTATCATTGTCCATCCAATGGAAACACATACTAAACTTTTTTTGTTTCAAAAGATAAACGCATGCAGAGTTTTGAAAAAAACATCTTTAATATCTTCTCTACATAGGCATGATAAGTGTGTTTGTGTAACAATTCTTTGGAATCAATTCATTTTTAACCGGATTTTCAAAGGAAATATCGGTTATTAAAATGGTTATATATTAATTATGTTAGAGTACTATGTTAAACAACCATAGTTCTGTTCAATTAGATATTATAAATATTTCAGCATATGATATGATTTATTTTCATTATTAATTAGATCTTTGAAATATTTTAGCATATGATAATCATTGGAGTGACAGATTTATTTGAAAATTTACTGTTTTCTGATTGAAATATAGGTTAAGTCCATTGGGGTAACCCCTACCCCCCTTTTTTTTGATAACTTGTAAACGGTCAAGATTCCCAACCAGAAACCATATATATTCTTGTATGGGACAATATATCAAATCAAATGAAATATAGGGGAAGTCCACGGGGGTAAACCCTACCCCCTTCTTTTTGAAAACTTGTAAATGGTTGAGATCCCCACCCCTAAACCATATATGTACTTGTATGGGACAATAAATTAAAGCAAATTTAATTTAGGGGAAGTCCCCTGGGGTAACCCCTACTCTCCTTTTTTTTGAAAACTTGTAAATGGTCAAGATCCCCACGGTGAAACCATATATATTCTTGTATGTTACAATAAAACAAATGAAATGAAATAAAAGGTGAGTTCCTTGGGGTCATTCCCACCTTCTTCCTGTTTAAGAACTTGTAAATGGTTGAGATCCCCGCCCCTAAACCATATATATCCTTGTATGGGACAAAAAAACAAATATGAAATAAAGGGCAGGTCCCCTGGGAAAATTAATCAGTTTGTATGTGTTATATTTGAACATAAATTAAATATATATAGGGTTCTTTAAGTGCTGAATCTAAACTTGTTTTTAATTAGATAATAATCTATTTTAATTATGAGATAAAGTTTATGACATTGATAGATAAGTTGCAGATCTGTATTATTTTTTTGACACATGAAAGAAACAATATTAGCAACTATTAATTAAATTTGATTATAATATGGAAATAGATATAACATGATATCTGATTTTAGAGAAGTATTTTGCTGGTTTTTATACGACCGCAAAAAAATTTTTGTGGTCGTATATTGGTATGACGTTGGCGTCGTCGTCCGGCGTCGTCCGAAGACACATGGATCTTTCTGAAATTGTACTACAAGGTTCCATATCACAAAGGGAAAGCTGGAATTGAGTTTGGGGGTAATTGCCTCAATATTTTAGGAATGAGGGGCCAAAAAGGGGCAAAAAACAAGCCTTTTTCTTGATCCAGGACAATAACTTGTGTGTAAGTGTATGGATCTTTCTGAAATTGTACTACAAGGTTCCATATCACAAAGGGAAAGCTGGGTTTGAGTTTGGGGGTAATTGCCCTAAACGTTTAGGAATTTGGGGCCAAAAAGGGGCCAAAAAACACATTTTTCTAGTTTCCAGACAATAACTTGTGTTCAAG